TTTTTTTTTGTTTTTTTTTTTTTTTTTTTTTTTTTTTTTGATTGTTTACTGGTGGTCAGAGCCTTGCCTGTATTTTCGTTTTGCATTACATTGTAACATGCAACCATAGTTCCCCAGAAGATCACAGACCACTTCATGTAGAGAAATATAGTTCCTCAACCTTAAATATAGGGTATTTTATGTTTCTTCTCTTCCATAAAATTATTTCATTGTTAAAAGTTTCTACGATCAGCATGGTGCCAAACTAATAGCAAACAGCAAAAATGATTACAGAAGCTTCTCCTGTCACAGAGCCAAGGGACCAGTGCATCCCACCCTCATCTGCTTGTCCCCAGGTCCAAAGACCCAGCAGGATCCTTCACAGCATCCGGCACACAGAAAGGCTACAAAAGGTTTTGAATTCCCCAAATATCCTGTACTCTATTATAGCTCTACTTCTGATTTTCTTTTACAAAATGTAGAATAAATTGTATTAAAATGAGCTTATAAAATTACCACCTCATTCTGCATACTTTGAGTTCTCCTTAGTCCATGGAACCTGGCAATTTGCTTCAAGGAAGGTCCAAGAAATTCCCTCTGCGAGGCTGGAAAAACACCGGAGCCTGGATCCTCGCCCAGCCAGTGCCCACTACCATACCTCCCCAACAGCCCACCTTGTTTCACTAACTTGCTATTTCTTAACTAAGTTTACCAATTAGGCTGGCAGAAAGTAACACAGCCAAACTGTAAGGCTGCAAAACTAATCATATTAAAAGGCCTCCTTAAAAGTAAATATTCAGTTATAAGATTATTGATTGAACAAACCACTGTGATTAGAAACACAATGCTGCAGAAGGTAGTATAATACCGGTCTCCAGTATAATCAATTAACAGTGTATAACTAAGCACACAATGTTCAGCCTTACAGGCACCAATATACATGCAGATTTAAGTTGGAAATAATTTCATCTTTTGTTCCCTAAGTTCATTCCTATTACGTGAACATTGCCTGCATAAACTTTTGACAAGGAGAACATGGAAATTTCATTAATTACCATGTTACTTTATAAATCACACATGGATCAAGAAAAATGCAGCTGCCCCCAGGGTCCACAGATTACGCTATCTCCAAGATGTATTTCTCTTTGAAAACAATAAGACATCTTTAATAAAGGCTAATGCACAGATGTTTTTAACTGAGAGGCCGACAGGGTGATAAAGCATGCTCCACACTTGGGATTACCTGTACATTAGATTACGCTTTCTTGATGCTTTCCCAGCCATTAACTTACATGGCAATAGAGACATTTATTTTTGACAGCAGAGAGCTGCCTTTGGCCAACTGACCATTTCTGCTGTAAGTTAAGTTGAATCCAGCTTCAGCACCTTGCCCAACGTGTTTCGGCAGCGGAGAGCAGGGGCAGCCCCTCGGCAGCCCCAGCGCGCGCGGACTGCGCGCCGGGTTTAAAGCTTCTGCACATGCTTCTCCCCCCTTTTCACTCACACCTATCAACACCTGGCTCCTTCATTAGCACTCACAGAAACCCTCACCCCTTTTTTATCAGGTAGCTATGGCTGCACCTTCCTGGACCCAGCCAGAGGGTGCCAGCCCAGCTGCAGAGCCATCCCTGCCCCAAGGGCACACGAACACTCCTTCCCACCCACCCACACCGCACCCAGCCAGGGAAGCTGTTCATCAAGCTGGGGTTGACAAAGGTAATCTAAACCCAGCACCTTCGAGTCCTCTTCTCCGCCAGCGCGATAAAAAGGAATTTCATAAAAATGTTTTATGTAAGCCTTTGCAAAGGCACTAGCCTTCTCTCCAGAGATGGTGATTAATAGAGAAAAACGGTTAGCTGAATCTCAAGTTTATTGTACATGAACTGGGCATTTTCAAGCTTTCTTTTCTGAAAAGCTACTATATATTCTGTAGGAGAAAACACCCAGAAGTGTGTGGTTTACTGTGAATGATTGATAATAGGATGATTGCTCAGGCACTCAAAGCATGATATTTGATAGCCTATCATACACTCATTCGAAAGGAAAGCAACAATTATCATGGCCTGACATGTTTATCATTGCAGAGCTGAGCCAGTTATCAAAGTGGTAGAGCTTCCCGGCATTATAATATTCGATCATGTCTAACACACTTCATGCGGAGCTCACCGCTGCAGCCGTAAATCAAAAGTCCTGCACCGGCTCCTTCCCAGATCACCCAAGCATCTCAATTCAGGGAAGAACACATCTGGCATGTAATTCTGGTTTGCAGCACAGATAAAGAATGATTTTTTCTCCCATTTGGATTCCCCTCTAAGATGCTCACTTACAAACAGGAAAAATGGTTTCTGTGGGTCAAATAATACTCCATGGGAAGCACCACCATGCCTGCCCTATAGCAGCGATTAACTCTACTTTCTGTTCTTATTTCAGTACCGTCCTTCCTTGACAAAGTCTGAAAGACTTGTACCTTTAGTCCTATGGGTCAGTTTGCTCTTCAGACTCCCTAAACACAAAACCACTGCCATACGCCTGGCAGGCATTTATCTGGGTGATTCTAATGACTGCTCAACAGGAACAATAATTACTGAGATACATTTCTCATAAAAAGATTTCATCTGAACACCAGAAATCGTAACTGCATACCTTCTGTGAAATTCAATCTCACTGTGTATTGCTGTGTTACACTTCAAGTACCAAAAAGATGGAAAATGCACTCTAATTTAAATTTTTAACTTAATTGGTACATAACATTTCTAAAATATAGCCTTAAGCATTCAAAGAACAGTTTCAAAAATTATCCTAAAGATTTTAAATCAGTCAGACTTCCACAGGGCGTCAGGGATGCCATAGTACTTCCCCAGCTGCCATATTCAGAAAGTTGTTACACACAGCCATGCTAAGAAAACAGCATTTTTTCCAGCAAGCAACTACATCTAAACCTATCAGAAAAAAAAATACAAAACCATGGCTACATTATTCCGGCATATTTTATATTATAAACACTCAAGCAATCTACTTAAGTCTTAATCAAATATTACCGTATGTCGAGCAGATACCTTTCAACTGCCAACACTGCAACCTGAGGATCTGCTGCAAAGACTTGGTGCCACTATGACCACGTTTTCTTACAGAAGTCACTATGATGACAGAGGATGCAGCTCAGTTCACCTACTGCCTGCAAACGTCACAGCGTACATAAACTTTGCAAATGTAGATAGAGTTTTGAACTCACTTTTAACACACAGTTTCAGAGAACACTTCTAAGCAGCACCAGAAAAAATAACTTTAATTCTGGATTACAGTAATGCCACCTATATTCCCCTGAATATTTAATTTACCAAAGCACACCAACAGCAAAACTCATCCTCAGAAGCCTCTCTCTGTTGCAAAGTAAACATAAAAAGCTGCTCATTAGTGCCACCAGGAGTGACCTTACCTGGAAAAGGTGAAGCCAAGACTGGAATTTTGATAGGGGAGAAGGTCAGCACGTGGCAGGGCTGGACGCTCGGCGCCGAAGGTCCCTGGGGGGCTTCAGGCTCCACTGACACCATCGCGGTGGTGGCCGCAGTGGCCAACGCCAGGGTCTGATTGCCACCGACCGGTTTAAGGCTATTCTGGCAACCACCTGTGGAAGAGTGAGATACAACAGATTTTATTTTTAATTGGAAACCAGTGGATTTACCTAAGATTATACGTTTTCAGCATTCTGAATTTCAATGCAAGATGGAACAAAAGTCTGCAACATTTCCCACCCGGCCTCCACTGTTTGCATGTCCCCCTTAGCGAGACACTGGATTTTGAATTATGCAATATATTTCTAAGGACTCTCAAAGCCCCTTTCCTAATCATTATCCTTAGAGTCCTAGCTTGTGGTTGGTGCATTTTTAGATATTAAAACTCCATATATGTGAACATATCATTATAACCTAGAGGGACAAGACAGTAGTGAGTCATATATAAACTGTGCAGAGTTATTAAATTTAAATGAAAAACCTCAATAAAAAAGTCAAATATTTGAACACATCAGTCGGTATTTTCTTCAGCTCCCACAACTTCGTAACAGCGCATGACCACCCTTATTCTGACTTTTCCTAAATGTAAGTTGTCTCATTTAAAATCTGAATATTTTTGTTACTTGTTCTATTAATCATCCAATGTTACTGTTATATGCCCAGCTTTTCTCCTGTAACGTGCATGCAAATACCTGAGTTTTAGAAGTTTTACATACTAGTATCCTTCATCCTGAAAACACACCATGCAGGAAACTTCAAATGGTTTCACATGGGAACTCAGAAGAAGTCCCCCAAATCAAGGCTCAAACGCACTTTAGACTATGTAACATTTACCTTTAAGTCTAACAAGCTTTGGGGGGAAGACCTTCAGAGCTCAACCTTGGATAAACATGTTAAACAAACAAGAAAATGAGTAGTAAAAATCTTAAGGAGAAAACCTAATTTGACAAACACCAGCTGTTACTCCCTCTACACTGAGCTATGTATTCAAAAATTAAGCAATCATTAGCTTATTATGTCATTTAGCAAATGTTTTCAGTTCATGTGGAAATCCTTCAGGCAATAAGAGCCAACTGTAGCTCTGCAAAAAATCACTATGTGGTCAGACTCCTCACTTCAGGCGTTCCGTGAGTTTGTAGGAGTTCTTTTTCTACGTGCATCTCTGCAAGGAAAACAGGGAATCAGCCCATGACCATGGGAAGCGTGACCATCAGGGCATCGGGGTGGGTGATGCAGCCCCTCTGCAGCACCACTGCTCTGGGTAAGACAACTGCAGCTGACCAAGCCCGGTTAAGATCATATTCCCCTACACAGCTACATAGCCCAGACACCTCATCCAGGCTCTTCCATCCTGCTCTGGCTTCAGACACCTAAAAAGTTTTGACTTTCAGACACCAAGTGCTGTTTTGCTCTCAGTTAGTGTTGGGGAAAGAGTGGGTCAGTGGGTTTTGGAAAGGAACCTGCTTTAGTTGCAGCTAAGTGGGGCTCCTGAGGCTATCTATTATACTAACTTTTGCTCCTAACTCTTTATAAACAGTTATTTGCCAACAAAATAAGCTCTCTGCATTAGCAAAACAGAAGTCAAATATATTCAGTAAGCATCACAAAAAAAACTTCTATTATTTCCACTGCATTTGTCAATTCCAAGAAGAATTCATTTAAAACACCTGCATATGCACTTATTAACATGCACGTAGGCAAACTTGCACGTAGGCAAAAAACCACAAATACTAAAATTGTGACGATTCAACCATAGACGGATGAAAAAGAGATTATTCTGCCAGAGTCACAATGGAAATTTAAAAAAAAAAAAAATCAGTGTCCAACTAATCCAACTGTTTAATATAAGTTTATTGTTTATTCACCTGAGGACTAGAACAGACTGTTAGGTTAAATACCTGGCCTCCAAGAGCCTGCACTCATTCCTAATTCCACCTGTTGGCAGTTGGGAAAAATCCACAAAACATCTTCTGTAACTCTTATGAAAACTAATGTTGTCTAGAAAAATGACTTTTCTACTGGTTTCCTACAGGGTACAGGAGCAGAAGGGTTATTTACTTCTCATTTGATTCTTTTTATTTTGAAGAAGATGATGCAATTTCCCCAAAGAGCCCAGGAAAGCAGCAGAATAATGTAAGCCTTAGTTGCTTGGATAGCCAAAGTCTTCCACCAGCACAGATGAGTAATGCTCCTGAAGCAGGGCTTCCTTGTTAAAGTTTCATCAATCCCCTTATTAAAGTTTCATCAGTCAGTTAAAAGAGAAGTTTTGGTGATTTCCCCGCTTTTGATGAAGTTCTCTCTCCCTCTCTCCTGCTAAATAATTCCATGAAGAAAGGACTACCTCTATAATTGTTAATACTTGAGGGGAGAGCACAGACAGGGTGTCTGGGGGTCATCAAGCCCACTCTCTTGCTTTGCACTCAACTGAACAATCGTCTCAGCAATTTATCAACCTCTAACTTAACATGATTTGCCAAAGCAACTGGAAGCTGGCCCAGGACATGACTTGCTGAGAGCTAGGGACTTTCATCTGCACTCAGTGTAGCTGGAAAAAAGTAGTTCTTCTCAGAAACAAACCAGATTTTGCTGTAAGTATTTCCAAAAACTTCTTGAAAGGGTTTTTTAGAATCATCATTCATCACCCCACTTTTACATGAATTTCAAGAGTCAAATGCCTTGAAAATAGTAGTAAAATACTATCATCGATATACCCTTGAGGGAAAAAAAAACTGCAAATTTTTTCCTAGCAATGGTGGTTTCCCCAAAGCTGTTTTTGCCAAGTCACGCTACATCCTGGGTAGTAAGGTAATACTTGTCTGCTGACGTAACAAACCCTATTTCAATGTCCTTCCCCAGCCTTCCAGCTCTGCTCTTCTCAGGCAAACGGATTAGGGGGAAATATCCAAGATGGGTAGCACGTTTTGATGTGAAGCAATTGAAGAGCAGAGAGCAGTTGAAGAAGCAATGAAGAGTTTATTCAGAGATAATTAACCAACAGTGGTGAAACGCAGTGAAGGCACTGGAACCAGGCAGCAAAGCCATCACAACAGATGACATGCGATCGCCAAATATCCACCTGCTAACATCCGTGTGGAAAAGTGTCTACACACACAGGTGTAGAAGAGGAGCTGTTTCTGTTGTGCCTTCTCTTCTAGCACAGCATCATCTACATGAGTTTGTGAATTGTACCCAATTTCCTGATCTAGAAGACCCATTTTCACGTGGCAGACCTGTTCCTGCTGGCTACATAACTGAGCTGCCAGGTACCATTCCTGGTGTAGCACAAACCATCCTGGGCCACACTGCCACATCTGGCCAGCACACGGCTTGACAGAACAGCACAACTTCCACTGCCCAAAGCCAGCATTTCCTTCCCGGGGTTTTCAGAGCACCAAGAGCAGGCTGTCAGCCTTCCCCACACAGGTACGCAAACTAGACAGACAGAAAGACATGATGGTCCTATGGCACATGCTAAATCACACAGCACGATGCACTGCCCACAAGTAGTCTCCATCACCTGCCAGGGAGGAAGGAGACCTTCGGCGATATAAAGGCCGACCCCACTGAGACCCACGAGACGTATCACGTCCAGACAGAGCGTGCTCAGCATCCTTTCCAAAATCCACCAAAAAATCCTCCACTCCCCCCAGTCTGCACCAGTGCCCTCTCTACACTCACATACGGTCTCTGCAACCAGAGCACACCAAAACTGCTTTTTGGCTACTGACATTTTCTAACACATTAAAAATTGAAACCACAAGATTTTCCTCCTTGAAGAACAAACACCCAAAATAATAGAAATTACTTTATTTAACAAGACAAAAGTAAAGACTATTAACACTTGTGAGATATGAAGATCTACTCTTACCTAAAAAGGGTAATTCAAGACCTTCCCTTTCAGATAAAAAGTATCGGTATTGTGAAAACTTACTGTACAGACAATGTAATGGGTTTTAAATCGCACTTGATTATTACGGTCTTTCAGTCTTTGTCTTCAGTTTTGCCTACAGGAAAACACCTTTACCAACAGGTTATGAATATCTTTCCCAAAAGACCCACATTAGAAAAAATGAGAGGAAAAAATTTCAAGCAGGTTAAAGACCTTTTGAACTTTTCATCTGTCTTGGAGAAAAAAGTATTAATACACGAGTATAATGTTCCTTGTAACTTTTTTTAATGATCCAATGAATCGCTGGGTTTTGCTTATCCTTTCAGCCCATGAGCTACTGCAAGTGCCCAAAGATCCTGTAAGAGCTCTTCTGCATTAGGAGGTCCTCCTTCGGGTGAGGACCAAAGGACACCAACACAGACACTGACCTGGCTGCCTTTTCTTTTTTGCCTGGAATAGCCCAAAGACACAACTGTAACACAAATGGATTTCCACTGCAATGTGCTGATCTGTCTCTACCCAGATAAATGCACACCAAGCATATGGAACCACACAGCACTTGATTTCTATCAAAGTTTTCCAACCACCAAACCTCCTGTTTCAGTGCTGTTTCCCATGCTAATCTGTGGTAGTTTAGCATGGGAAAAGGACACCAGAACTCAACGCTACTAGGAAAAAAATCACACCAAGTACTAAGTAGCTTCCTAAAGGATCTGAAATGTTTTCCATGTATATTTAAAATAAAAAGATATTTTGAAGGGTTTCAATTTAAATGTGTATGCTATGAAAGTCATATAAAATTAAACACCAATTCAATTAAATAGAAGTTAAATACTTTGACCCCGGAGTTAATAAAAGTTAGTAATGCTGAGGTCCTAAACCTCACCCATAGAAGGACGTATACCATTCTCACTTCTTTTTAAAGCAATATGCAAGCTCCTTATTTTTAGTCATAAACCAACTGATCACTAACACCCTGACTGTCTGTATCCCTGTTCCTTTTGGGTTTCCCTGCCCTGGTTTTTCCCTGCCCGCCCTGGCCTCAGGGACAGCACTGCTCTTCAGGTACCCACACTGCTGCCCAGCCCCTCTGTTACTGAGTTTTTGCTGCATCCAAGCACTGCACAGTCCCAGCTGCTATTTAAAAAACTTAAAAGTCCATCATTTTTTATTAGAAAGCCATTTCAGAAATGTTCACTGAATCTCAGCTATGCTGCCCACATC